GCCGAACCCAGAGTGTGATTATACGTGGTTCGTTGCTGCGCTATTTTGACGTGAAAGCCCAGTGTGACAATCCACACCACCAAACCCACACCTGGCTTGACATCCTGTAGATCTAGCAAAATAGTTTCTGTTTTGCCTTTTGGGCGGCTCAGTCGCGTCCAGCTGTGCGTGCATACCAGCTTTTGAAAGTACTTATCGAAGGAATCAGGAATTAGAGTCGTAGGGTAGCACTTCCACGCTCTTGAAGTTCTGCGTCATTGCCTTGGAGCTCGTCGAGGCTCTCGTTTTGAGGACCCAAAGCGTCCTGATCTAGAACGCGCCAAGACATTCGAAAATGCTTCCCAGATGTCAAACGTGTCCTGATCCAGACGTGGGGATCGGACAGCGATAAGTTTCACTACAGGGATGTGGCCCTCAGGCGACTAGACCGCTCCAGGCTCCTTGTTCGGCTCCGGAGCCGATCCCGTCGATGCGGCGCTGGACATACCGAAGGGATTGGGTTTTTCTGCTTTCGCACCTTTTGGGGAATGAAGGGCTAAGAATGATGGAGGAGGGGGGAAACGGGGTGAAGAAGTGTTTTTCTTATTTTTATATTTTTGGGGCTGAGGAATTTGTAAAAAATTCGGTTATAAGTTTTTCTGTTCGCGTTTTCCTGCACGCAATTATTTTGTGAATTTATCCACTCAACCAACAGATGTCCGATAGCTTATTTTGCTACAATGGCTTGGCCAACCGGCCATGGCCGGGCTGCCTGCATTTGATCGATGGACCGGCTGTCAAACCGGAGCAGTCAGTCACTCACGAAAGCGTTTTCCGTTTAGTCTGCGAGCTGTCGACTTGCGGTGTTCGATGGCAAATGGGCGTCCGAGGGCGGAGGCAAACACGCACTCTGTATAGCTTAACCACCTCAGCAAGTCTCCAGGAAGTTACTAGTTCAATGTGTGACGGGATCACACAACACCTTGCGCTTGAGGAAGTCGGCTTCCGTAAGTAAACAAACTCTAAGTGATCAGCAGCTCACGGGTCCCTTGCCAAAGGGAGCGACGTTACCAGCTAAAGTTGAAGCTCAAACGGAATGTATTTATACTGTAGGTACCATAAGCTTGAGTTAAACAAACAAACAATAGGTCACCTATGGTTAAGCTATGCTGTTAGCCATTGGCTGGACGGGTACCATGTACCAGGTATCCAGAAGAGTGACTAGTCACACAAGTCACACTTCATATCATCTGGGGTACACTTGGTTACACAACGAGTGTCGATTCTGCCAAGCAGCGTTCTGCAACGAGGAAGCATGGTTGCATTGTGAAAGAAGATAAGTGCGAGGAGTAGCTACTGATGCTCCTCTTCGACCTCAAGCATGACGTTCACTCGGTCTCGGAAAGCGCCGCACGGAGGTTGAGCAAAATCCTGTTCTACAAAAAACCCAAAAACGACGATTTCCACAGAAGTCCAAAGACCTTGAGCGTGCACCGAATGATATATACTCTGCGAACCATTTGTCGGATCGATTTATTAAGGAGGCGCCGTTGTTGCGAGTATTTGAGCTGCTTTGTCCGGGTTACGGATACTATCCCGTCGCGTCGAGCTATGGGAGGAAGGCTCTAAAATATTACATGATGCGTGGTGCTTAAAGAAGGCGGATGAAGCACTCAGGCTCGCTTACCAGCGAGCTGGTGGCCGCATTATTCTCTTATCAGATGTCTGGCAGAATATTGCCAAAAATCATATTCTTGACTGCCAGCTCGCTCTCTGTGGGGACCTGCTCACTAATGGTCTACTACCCGTAAGTCATCGGCATGATGGTCTTGTCATTGCCGAACAGCTTGACATTGTGTAAAAAAGCTCATCAAGAGGGGTGAGACGTGGGCACAATAGTCCCTGATAACTCGGGTCGATGAGAACGTGCTCGACGGATCCTATCTTTTCGATGGCCAAGAATTTGCTTCTGTTTCCCTTCGCACCATACGTCAATTACCTCGTTCAAACACTCCTCAAGAGGTATTTTTGGAATGTGGCGTGCCGAGCAGCAGCAGTTAATTGCTGAAACGCTTCATTACAAAAGTAGCTGTTGCGTGCTAGAAATCTCGTAAGGAATGGACATATGGTCTGCGCTATCTCTGGCAGATACGTCGGAACTCAATACAAGGCTGCTTTGCTTCACAATGACGTGTACAATCATTCTTACCCCAAACGTTACATCGACAGTTTAACATAGACGATGATTTCCCGATGCAACTGGATGCCTTGGCGATAACTTCTTCTGGGGCGAGCTAAGCCGATCAAAGTCGGCCATTTCTCCGTTATCCTATGCGTCGTACGGGCTCGAACGAGATGGAAGTACCGCTGTTTTGTCGTATTGCGACAGCTTTCGGGGTTTTGACCAAGAAATTTTGCGACTAGGTGAGCTAGCCAAGTGCGTCGAGAATGGCTGGTCTCAATGCAAAAAGCGTTTATTCATGCTTGGCTACGCTCTGCATTCAGAATATGCCAATGATACAAGGACATTGACGAACACAGTCATTTCAGGAGTTGATTCGCTGCCTGAGCTTGCAGTCTACATTATCGGAGGTTGTTTGACACTGACGATGTCGGAACGATTGGCGTGATACGCTCACTTATACGGAGAACGATTATACAGAAGCGCAACCAAGCGAATTTAATGGATCATCGTGGGAATATTGGAAGTATATCGCTTAGGAAAGCCCAAAACGTTTGCTACCAACACTTGCATAGCGATCACTCTCTATTGCGGTCAATGCAGTAACTTGTGAACGTCTAGCAAGTTTAAGATAATTCACACCGCGAAAAGGAATTGATACGCGTCCGACAAAGCACTCAATTTTCAGATAGTAGACCAACACGTACGTCAGCGAGCACTGAAACACAATACACTCATTCCGAAAAGAAACTATCGTGTCGGGATGAGCGCGTAATAATACGTGATGCACTCACAGGGATGTTCACGTTTTTGCAACAGCCAATTCAAGGCAGAAGTGCTGTAGCTGAAGAGGATGATGGCAACGAAGCTGACCCTGGCAACGGAGCAGACTAAGAGAGAGCTCTAGCTCTATGGCAGGAATCTCTCGCTGAGGTCTTTGAAGATGAAGAATTCGACGCTGCCTACGAGGAAAAGATGGAGACGGTGCACCAGCAGCATGAAAAAGATGCTGATAAATTTGACTATCTTGCCTCTCCAGTCCTGCATGAGTTTCCCAATGCAACGATCCAGCATTTTCCTGAGAAAAAGAAACAGAGAAAAAGAGAACGGACTCAGGAGTCATAGAGTAACCGTGGCAGAGCGTTTTGGCTACGGTGCTCACGGATGCACAAGTTAGCATAAAACGCTAGCTCCTGCTTTCATAATTCACAGCTTAAATGTATTAATATTTTGCGAGTTCGTGGCGTTACTCTATAAATTTACATCACAGGCCAAGACCAAAGCTGGTTATCGTCGCGCTCACTAGGCATTGGCGGTGCGACTGCTCTCTTTTCCGCGAGCGTCGGCAGTCTGACCATTAAGCTGTTTGAACGCTGGCGCTCGTCCGCCTTCGAGCGATACACTTAAATCGACAATTAAGTTTCCAAAGCGATGGTGTACCAAATGGTGAGTCAAGCCTCGACACTCGCTTTCAGATCCACTATCATTGGGGAAGCGGCTACCTCCACGCCAGACCCGGGCATGAGACAGTGTTAATAGAATAAGCTTCGCGCTCCAACACTGAGTGAAATGTGTATTTTTTGTGAGATAGCCTGACGAAAGTAAAATTGCACGAGATGTAGAGAAGGATCAGTACACAGAAAACGCGGGGAGGACCACACATTCGAAGGTGCATACGGCAACGAGGTCAGCGCAGATGGCCAATAATTTGTCTTAAGTCCTGTTGGTGACTATCAGAGCAGGCAGCCTATGTCGCGGGAGATCGAACCAACCTATTTTATTCCGTAATTTGAACTCAGCTCGACTAACTCAGAACTCTCAGTTGAGTCTAATCCTCCTCGCTACACCCGGCCAGCACGCAGTTTTGTTAATGGAGCAAGCTTCGCGCATCAGCTATGAGTGAAAACGATATTTACATGGCGCTTTTCAGGACGTGATACCTGCTCTGGAACAACACTGGATCCCACGTTTTATGGCGGTTCAAGGCACCCTGCATGGACAAAGACGGCTTCTTGTTAATGTGTACGCTCTACATATTGTGAGCGGTCAGATTAATGTTACAAACGATTTGCTCAAAATAATCGTACATGAGTTTTATTGTGAGTCACCACGTTAATGGAACACGGTACGTGTTACAAGTCGTACTTTTGTTACTGAGCGGTCACTCGTTTAGACAGCACATGTTGTTTTACAATAATAGTACATTAAAACGGCGCTGTGTATTTCAAACCATCAACGTACTTGCTTGAAACATCGAGCTCGAGTTTTGAGATTTTCCCGAAGGCTAGGGTTTTACAGCCATAAAATATATTTCTTAGTACCATATTCAACATGGCACCGATACTATAAGTGGCAATTCGTTAAAAGTCACTCGTCGACGGTCTCGGCCACTGTAAGTGTTTATGCTGAGCAATGACTCCAAAACAGATAGGAGATTTACGTTTAGCTGTTGTGTCCAATGGGTGCCTGGTTTTCAATCTAGTGCTTTCGTAAAGGCGGCTGTCATGTCCTTAGCAGCTATTATTGGGGAAGTAATACATGTGAAGCAACAACTATGGCGCATTCCCTAAAATATAGTTTGTATTGGAAGGACATCGCATCGGTAGCAGCAAGGTTTATAATCTAGGTTCACGGACGATAAACTTAGGCAATGTATGTGATTAACTGGATAATACTGTAGCAATCTATGAATGCATTGCAATGAAAGGTACAATATCATTTTTGAAATCGTGCTCGCAAGCACCCTTTATTGTTGGTATAATAATGTTATCAGTGGTCATATATCAGTGTTGTAAACCAATCACGTAAGTAGTTTGGCATCAAGCAGTGTGTTAAACCAATGACGTGAGTAGTATGGCTAAGTAGGACCATTACACGAGCTTTACCGTATCAAACAATGAATATCCAACGCTGAAGAGGCTAGTGATAGTCGTCCTCATTGCTCCCAAATAGGAGCCTGCTGAGTAGGAAGTGGTATCATCAATTTTGAGCTGATTTGGTTGTGGACAAGCTTAGAATCTAGCATCGTGCAGCAGCTTCGCTGCGTAAGTTTATGCAATAGCTTCTAGAACCCAGCTACGGGGCTTTGGTCGCCCAGTACCGATTACGTCCAAGGCTCGCAGGCAGACGGTCGATAACTTATCGCCCGCGCCAGTAGTGTGCCTATAAGACAGCACGCCTATTTATTAATTTGCGTTTCTGTTTCGTTCCTATTACGTTCGCTAGCGAACGAGCTTCTCACGTCCACGTCCTCTTGCACCCCGTTGCCACAACGACTCCACCAGAGCCCAGGCCGTCGCTAACTTAGCCACTCGAACCTTACGCCGCAGACGCTCGTCCTGCTACAACGCAGCCCTTCCTTCAGCTCGCACAAACGCGCTGTCGTGCTGTGCCCAGGCTTACTTCGCCGTTGCGACCATTACGCACACTCTGTCCGTAGCCGTCGTCCACTCGTCCGCGCGTTCACCAGCCTCGATGCGCCCACCGATGCTGTCGTTCGTCCTGTGTCGAGGCTCACTGTCCACGCTACAGGCGTCTTCAGGCGACCCTAGTCCTTTGTTTGTTTTCGTGACCCGAGCTGCAGGTCCGTCAACAGTCATTTGCTCGTTCGTTTCGTGTCTTCGCCCGCTGTGGTGAGCTCACAAGTTCGTATGCTCTACAACGCACGTTCGTTTGCTTCAGTTGTGTCTCGAGCTGCCGATTCGAAAGTGAAAGCTCTCAGGGTCCGTGTGGATCTACGGATTCTTGCGACTGCGGGGCCAGCTGCCTCCACGATGCACGCCAGCGACTGCTCGCCGGGCTCCACTCTGCTGTCTTTTGTCTCCTTGGCTGCTAGTGGCCATCGTACTCGTCCATCATCGCAGGTCCAGGCTACCCGACGTGCCGCACCCACGTCAGCTCCAGTTCCCGGCCTCGCGTTGCTCTTTCTGTCGTTGACCAGTTCGTACTGATCGTTCGTCGGCGTAGTGTACAGTGCGTCGCAGCCTATTACACTTTTATAGCTTAGCGCTTGCACTTCATAATTTGCATGGCTTATTTGTAGTGACATAACCGCCAGGAGAATGATACATTTACCATATTAAAAGGCTCATCATCCACCGCGTAACAGTAGGTTGTGAAGCCTTTTAACTCGTTCCCTGTAGCCACTCTGTCGAAACTCGGTTTCATTCAGACGTAAGCTTCTTCCGGCTGATAAGGTAATACAAAGTTATCCCACGACATGCATCTGCGCGGGCCACCTCAGGAGAATGTCCAATGCACTTGCGAGCATTGTACAGCACATGAAAAAAACAATACGCGATAAATGTGCTGCTCTTAAAGCCAGATAATTCAGAAAGTCTTTTTAGATGAGTGCTTTGAGCGTCACTCATAACAGCATTATTTTGCAGACGTGAACCTTCACGCTCATAAAACAAAACGCGTAATGTTTCTCACCACTGGGTAACATTCGCTGTGTGTCTTCTAACTCACAATAACTAGACTGGCAAGGTGATTAATCATCTGAGTGTAAGTAACTTCACAAACTATCCCAGCGTAAACAAGGTCGCTAGGCTTGAATGTAGCGTCGAATTAAAACAATAGTGTGCTGCTATAAAGTCAGGAGACTGTGTATGAGCTTCGCACTGGTAATTTCCAGAATCCATGGCTCGGAGTCATTTCCACTGTTAACAAATGAAAATCGTCGTTCATCATCTTTGTTGCCAAACACAATCATAACTTCAGGACCTCTCTAAATCTGCTTTAAAATGTCTTCGAAATATTCAACTCCCGCACCCGAAGAATGGATCCCTTCGAGCTTTGAAGCCGATAGCTGTAGCGCACGCTACGTAGGACTTATATACACGTTGAATATCCGAGAACACAAGTCAGGATTCCAGGGCTCGTATTATGTTTATCAAAATTTCACATGAAGAAACTGCATTATCGTCTACATGCTGAATCTATGCCTGGCCTAGGGTCTGGGGGCAGCGACACATGTCATTTCTCCGCGAGAAATACGTTTAGAGATTGTGCAGAATTATCCACCGCGGTATAGATCTCAGAGAAGTACACCTCCCACTGAGCAACACCAAATCCAGCTTCTTGGCAAATATCACATTTGTACAGGGGCTGGCGTTCCACCATGTCGTGACTACCTGGGCAGATAGTACACGTAATTGTGCTCCCAGAGAAAACTTTACAGCATCAAAAGTCTTCAATCGATACATAATAAAGTCAACTTCGGTTCGAGGCTCGATTGACCCCGTCCAGTCTTGCTTAAATGGTATTATCCAAGAAAAAAAAACGTGTACAGAACACTGCAACGAGTACGAAAGTCAAACATGACTGAGCACGACCTATCTGATGTCATGTGTTTTTATTAAAATAAGCTCTCATTAAAGCGATACACGAGCTAAAAACACAACACCATATTTTGATAGCGCAAGGTCATACGGATATCCCGGGTTACTTTGCTTAGTGATTATTATGCTGCAGACCATCTCAAATGCGACCAAAACAAAGAGATTACAGCTGTACGAGTATTTATACTCCCAAATCAGATTCATACGAATGGATACAGTATCGCTTGGGGTACGGCTGAGGTGAAAACAGAAGCGGGATAGTAAGGCCACCGTTTTGGCGTTTTTAGTGAAGCTCAAGCACATAGGGTGATGGTCAAATACCACACGACACTCAAAAAGGTGAGATGACACCTGGACGCTGACAAAATAGTATGTGCTCCACCAAGGTCGGTTTAGCATCACCAAATGCGGTTTTGGCAGCGAAATCAAGAATATCATCTGCAAAAGCGAGCAAGGAAGCATTAGTAAGAACAAGAAGTCCTGAAACTTAGCTCGGTAGATAATATGGGTTATTTTTGCTGCTTCATGTCAAGATTGGGATCTTGAGAAACACGTAGGATAAATCGAGCACTTAAGAAAAATCGATCTGACCAATAAACCCGAGTTCCATCGTCGCGTGGTTTTAGCTTTCATCGCAGCGTGCGAGCGCGGCATGCTAACTAGTGTACTCGTGCCGACGTTTCCAAAGCCGGTAACTTCAAACCAACTTGGTTCTCTGCGAAACTTTTATTTTTGACGTATGGAAACCTTTACAAAACAAATATCTATAGCTGCCTTCGGGAGGGCGCGGGTAAAGTAGCTACAGCGCGAGGGAACAATGCGCTTAGAGCGGTCCAAACTGACTGGACATGACCTTTTCGGCGTAACACAATTACTTAACATTGACAACTGTATGCTAGAATTTTAACGGGGCTTTATGGTGTGGAGCACACATGGGTAAGGAATACCCGGAGAGCTAACAAACTATCAGTACATATGTTGGAGAGTTAACAAGGTCTCTCATTACGTTGGCTGAAAGCCACACGTTACGCATTTGATTAGGTTTAGCTATGCTAGATAGATAAACAGATACATTTACCCCTGGGCGGCTTGGCCGCAATAATTGTAAATAAAGCACTTCTGGTTTTGAAGCATAAAAATTAAGGTATTAACTTTGAGCCCTGGTCTTGGGCTGTAAGTGCCCTTTGAATAAGCAACTTAGTATTAGTTACTCTTTGAGTCGAACGTCTTCCTCTGACGCTAAAGCTACGGCAGCCCCGCTGCAAGATTGATCTAAGCAACTGGCAGATAAATGTGAAAGTTGTCAGGATAACTTGACCAACTGCCATATTAAGGTGGCTGTCAGATTCATGCAAATGCTGTTAGACTAATGTGATCGCTGTCAGAATATTGTGATCGCTGTCAGAATATGGTGAGCGCTGTCAGAAAAATGTGAGCACGACAGGCTTTACGCGGATAGTACGTCAGTCACATGAAAGTGTTAGTTAGTGGTAAACTAACATAAACATCTCGACAGCATTCACATTAATCTGGCAAATTTTACATTAGTCTGACAGCGTTCACATTAATCTGACGTAAAATTGTCTATGATCAGCGATTAGAATAATTCTGGATATAACTATCCCGCATTACTCGTGCGGATTAGCTATATTCATGACCATGTAGTGGTGGAGTGATCAATGGAAAGCCTCTACCCACTCACACAGGACAAAGCGTATGAAAGCAATACCGAGCTGGCTAGTTGAAGGTTTGGAAAGCACTGTCAGGCACAGGACGTGCCAGACAGTAGATGATCATAAGAGATCCTACTCGCTAGGACTCACAATATACTTTTGGGTTTCCAGGAAGCGCCAGCTTCCCTAGTGTGGGTTTTATCGCTAAATACCTACTACAAAGAATTCTTTAGTTGCGAGGTCTCGCGACTCGGACTTAAACTGAAAAAACATACAGCAAGCAAACTGAGATGACTGGGGGCTCCGGTGGTGCTGATATTCCAATCACACGGACAACTATGACGGCCCCAACGAATCCAACGTCCACGACAGCATACCACGAGCTCCTCAGTCAATATTCGCCGTTGCCGCTTCACCCTTGGTGGCTTCGACTTCACGTGAAGCCTTGCTGGAGTGCTGACGCTACGCAAGGCCTGCGAAGAGGCAACGAGAGAGAGGTGCAAGGATGACAAGGAGGACTACAAGTCGGTGTGGAAGAGTGTAAAAAGATCATTTGACGCCGAGTTGTTGAACTTGTGTGAGGCAAGCTGGGGAGTTGAAAAAGGCGAAGTGACTGATGCGTTTCTCTTGGAGAAGATTCATGAGAGTATCGATAACTATCAAAACCAAGCGTTTCCTCCAGTGAAGGAATTGTTTTTGAACGATTTGAAGAAGAGCATGAATATCTCAGACATTCAGTCAAGAGTGACAGACTATTTTCTCTCGTGTCTCCTGCTGAAATTTTTTGGATTTCACTAGTTTAATTGACTGGACGAAAGGTACGAAAAAAAGTGAAAACTGATATTTATCTCTCTACCTAGAGCGCTGAAAGCGAAAGTCAACAACGAGATCGACTATCGCTCGCCGGACGCACAGACCAGTGTGATGAAGCTTTCCAAGCTTATTAACCAGCAAGCTTTGGAACAGGCAATTGAAGACCGCGCTCCAAAACGAAGATACCCCATACCCGGAAAAGTGGGAAACCGGCCCACAAAAAAGAGCAGTCGAGCAAGAAAGGAACACCGCAAGATGGATGATTTCACTGTGGTGGCCCCCACTACCTCATTGGATGCCCAACGGCGACAAAGGAAGATCGCGACCGTCATGCCACCAAGCTGGGCCAGAGAGATGAGTGCCCTGCCGCGGGAGGCACCGCTAACCTCCGACGGTTAGCCGAATTCCTACCAGCGCAGGCACGCACAGTTGTGTTGGAAGACGCTTATTCGGTGGCTTTCTGTGCGGATATCGGCGCAGACAGGTCTGGTATGAAAATGGCTGCTTTTGAAAAGATTGTGAAGGTTTGACCGGAAGTGAAACGGTGCAGTTGAAGGAACCACTCGAGTGCACAGGAGCCGATGGGAAGCCAATTGAAGTATAAAATGACTGCAAGCCTACATCTACGACTACGGACTGCAGCTGGCAGCGTTTGTATCGCTAGGCCAGCTGAGTGCCTAATCATTCTTAGTGATGCAGACAAATTCTTGCTGGGGAATCACGTGTTGATGATTTAGGTATTGACGTGTATCGGGAACTAGATTTACTTGCTGCCAATGTCGTTAGGAGTGAATTGGACGATGAATTTGACGATACTGAAGAGCCACAAATTGGTAGTGGGGTGGAGTTGAGTGACGACGTGTTAGCAGCGGTGGAGAAATTGGCTGACGGAGGAGAAAGGATTCCCACAGGAATGGGTACAAGAGGTACGGAGGATTGGTATTCGCTTCGATATCTGGCGATTGAAGCTTGGGAATGATCCACCCCCTCGTGTACCGCCCATGAAGGTTCGTCTAAAGAAAGGAAGAGTACCTTACCAACGAAAAGCGCGACGATACCCACCTGAGATGCATAATTTTCCGGATAAGTTCAGTAACGAGTTGGTTCTGCTGGGCTGGGTCT